GGGTACCCAGCTGGGATATATTGGTTCATGAATCACCGTATGATACGGTATGACTTGTCTACTATATAGCACCATAGTAAGAACTGTAATATGAAAGATGGTAAAATGGTTCTGATTGCTTACCATATGCTTGAAAGTATCACATGTGCTTATATAGAATGGTTAGTTAATAAACTAATGATGACTGCTAATGAAATTGAATATAAGGATGCATGCTTAGTAATGCTTTCTGTAGATGCAATAACCCACAAGTCAGATAGCTTTGTTTATCCTTATTGGAGTCTTTGCTTTCATCCTGATGGGTACGTCTTGCGGAGTATAATTGAGTACTCATGGTTTGTTCTACCCTGTTGCAGGTGACAGGAACATGTGGAGTTGACACTTGTGTGCGGAAACCTCTTGGTGGGCTAAGCGAGGATTTACTTAACGTTGCGGACATAGAGTTTATTTGAAACTTCCACCCAAAATATTTTACAATGGAAAAAACTTATAACCTGTTATGAGGTATATAACGGATCATCATGTTAATGTTTAACTTGTCATTAAATAATTTGGGCTCTGTTTGCTTATCTTATAATTCATACTTTTCAGCTTCTTTTTCAGTCGGAACAGTGTTTTTCTCTCACAACAAATCAGCCAGAACAGTGTTTTTGCTTGTTTTTTCAGCGAAACGAACGGGGCCTTTATTTCCGCTGAAACTATGATAACATACTTATATTCCGTTGTTATAAACAATAAATATTATACTCTGATGTTGCATGAAAAGTGATATAAGAAATGGCTAAAATGTTGTAAGCTTTATTCTCTCATTTATAATCCTGTTGAAAAATATGGATTTTTGGGTTCTTCCATGGGATGTGCTCGATAGAGCTGTTTAAATTAGCTCAATCTTGAGGTGTTTAGTGTCTAATGAAAGACAAACACCTCCATAATTGAATTATTTTAGAAAGTTCTGCCACAACTACTCACATAAAATATATTGTACAATTGAAAATCTAATCTAATTATTATTCTCTATCTCTACGTCTCTATCTACACCTAAAAAAACCTAATGTCATCGTCAGACACCAAGATAATTCACTTCGCCTAGCTTAATTTGTGGCTCCAGCGTCACCCCGCCCGCATGGGTTCCTGTTCGAGAGTCCGTGTCACCCGAATGCTAAGTATTATTCGCTTCGCCTCACCTTAATGACGAGTCCGAACGTGAACCCCGCACGCTCCCGCATCGCCCCGCCAGCATGGGTCCGCGTTGAGCCCCACCTCTCATGAACAAATCAGAGCTCCGCTCCAAATGCGTCGGCGGCGGGCGCACCGACTGTTGCGTGTGTGTCTACACCTAAAAAAACCTAATGTCATCGTCGGACACCAAGATAATTCGCTTCGCCCAGCTTAATTTGTAGCTCCCGCGTCACCCCGCCCGCATGGGTCCCTGTCCGAGAGTCCGCGTCATCCGAATGCTAAGTATTATTTGCTTCGCCCCAGCTTAATGGCGAGTTCGGAACGTGAACCCCGCACGCTCCCGCATCGCCCCGCCCGCATAGGTCTGCGTCGAGCCCCACCTTCCCGCAAACAAATCACTTCCCCGCGCGCGCCCTAGCTCCAGCCTACGGCGGCGGCGGCGGGCAACTGCGACCTGTTGCCGTGCATAGTCCCGGCGGACGTGTGCCAGTATGTGTTGGCGGCGGCCGCGGCTCTCGCCGCGCTCTGCGACGTGCTTGCCGTGTGCTCCGCTTCGCCCCCGTGCGCGCGCCCTAGCTCCAGCTGTGCCGGCGGCGGCGGGCACCTAGAAACGCTCGCCCCGTTCGCTCGTCAGCGCATTCCCGTGCGCGTATGCCCGCGCGTCTGTGCCCTACTCGCCTCGTGCGTGTGTGGCCACGCGTCTGCACCCCGCTCGCCCTCCTGCGAGAGCAGAAACGAAGGGACAGCGTGCCGTGGGACGAACGGACGGACCTCCTGGCCCCACGTAACAAACGAGTCCGTTGCGTGGTGATTCACTTGATGCCCGCATGTAACAACGTGGCTTATTAGTCTACCACGTCCACATAGAAGAAGAAAAACCTGGAGCATTTAGAAATAGTTTACGGGTGCAAATGAAAAAGTATTTAATAGATTTTTATTAAATTTTGAAAATGTAAAATAATAAAACACACAAATAATAATTAAAAAACAAAACCAATTTTATTAGGTTTCTATAAACCAAATCTACACGATATAGGTTATAAAGATCATAAAATATGCTTTATGTAATCAAATTTGTATATTTCTTAATATGTTTGGCGAAAACACAAGCCATGTGCATCGTCGTAGACATGGATAAAAATTTGTTAATATGTTCGTCTAAACCATAAGACACGTGCATCATTGTACACATGAATATAAATTTGTTACCTCGTGCAACGCACGAGCATATATCTAGTGAATATTAATATCCCAATAATATTACTGGGATCTGTGTTGGAAGTGGAGCAACGTTAGAGCATCTCCAAGTGCTCCTAAAAGTATATTTTCGAATCATTGATTATTCTATCTAAGCGGCTAAAATGAGTGACTGAGTGAGTATAGAGTTTTTTTGTCTTTCTCCAACCCAATATGAAACCACACGCCGTGGAGAAAACCAGGGAGAAACCAACAATAGGGTGCGTGGAATGACACGCATATATGAGGAGTCGTATGTCAGATTTGCCAAACGTGGATGTTTATGGAGTTCAGATAAGAAACAATTGGAAACTCATTTTTTCCTTTTTTTTACCTTTTTTTTTTGTCAAAATTGAGCTAAGGAGCTCTTGAAGATGCTTTTTTGTGTAGTAGTTTTTTTTTTCTCAAACAATGTAGGAAAGCTACTTGTCATTTCGTTAAAGAGAAAAATGTACAAGAAAGAATCTCCTCCCTACAACGCAAAAAAGAAAAGGAAAACAAAAGGGGAGGCATTATCTTCTCCCACTGATCGCATAAGGGGCTGGCCGATGGATTGAGAGCCTGCTTGCCTGCTTGGCAAGACGATGTGAGGCCCAACACCGGTTGCTGACTGCTAGCCAAATAAAGAATTTGCATCTCAAAGAGCCGGTTGTTGACTGCGTTTCCAAGGAGCAAATCTTACGGTGTCAACGAAGCGTGCATTTAGCTTGTTCGCTTACTCGTCTAGCTTATCAGCCATGGCTTATCAGCCAATGAATCGTATTTTTCTCTCACACCAAATCAACCAACAGTACTTTCAGTCATGGTTTATAAACCAAATCAGCCTAAACAAACCGGACGATTGTAAGCTGACTCGCTGGCGTAGAAGAGCCTGATTTGGAGACCTTCGGCTGCAAATTGAGCTCCCAAATGCGGAGGTAGTCAATGTTTACTTGGACGGTAAGCCTCTTACGTGCTATTTGGTTGCGCACTGTAAAAGCAAACGCAAAGGGAATGAAAAACAGTGTTAATGGTAACCGATGGAGCGAATTCCTGATTTTGTTTGGTTCAACGGTGTAAACGTAAATGGCCAATGGCCAATGTTCGGTGGGGATCTTGACTCTGTCCGTGATGGGGTTACGGCCGAGTAGCACCGGTATCAATTTACTATGGGCTGGTATCCGGTTACGGGGTAGCGGATTGCAGGGTAAGTTGAAACAAACGAATCTAACGTAATCGCATCCCCTCCGTTATCCATTTACGTTACAAAAGCACCAACCAAACCCTGTCTTAATATCATCAACCCAAGTTTTGTTGCTGAGGGCCCGTGCCACCGTCAACCGCTTGGCCGTACGCTTCAGTATGGCTCTGAACAAGAAAAGGAGCCAGTTCTGCAATAAGAAACTCATGCAATCAGCGATCTATCCAAAATTTACCCATGATCAGGCCAACCTGTAGCAGTTTAGCTAAGCGCAAGTTGGTTCAGTGTGGTAGCACCGTAGCAGTAACAACTAGCCCAATGAGAAGTTGAGATGACTTAGGGCCTTGTTTAGATTGTAAATTTTTGTAATCTGGACATCGTAGCATATTTCGTTTGTATTTGACAAACTTTGTCCGATCATGGACTAATTAGGCTCAAAAGATTCGTCTCGTAATTTACAATCAAACTGTGTAATTAGTTATTTTTTTTACATACATTTAATGCTCCATACATGTGCCCAAAAATTAATGTGATGGAAAGAGTGAAAAAACTTTGGTATTTTGAGCTAATCTGCCTTGGCATGGAGGACTAGTGCTTTTGCGCTTTTTTCTGTATCATTTGCGCCCATTTTCAAAGGAAAGCGTAATGTTTGTGCTGCTGCGATAATTGCTGTCTGCATTGGGCCCCGCCGCCAGGCTCCAGGGGCCGGTCGACGTCGCCGTCCGCGGGTCTCCTCCCGCTTCCTGCCACCCTGAGCCATTGACCGTTCCTGGGCCCTGGTCGCCTACGACGGCCCCACCTGTCTATCGTGCCGCCGAACGCCCGTCGCTGCTGGGGCCCGGCCACCCCACCCACCCCCACCGCACGTCACGGCCCGTCCCCTCCGTGTCCTGTCCGCACCGCGCCGCACGCCGCCCGAAATTTCTTTCCGCCGCGAGTCGCGGCGCCCGCTCGTGGCCGGTGCGCGCGTCCGCAACCGCCGCCACCGCCTTCCCACTTCCAAATACTCCTGCTGCGGTGCTGCCACTTTCCCTATCCCTGCCTGGCCATCCCCCGCGGCCCTCGCTCTGCTCTGGTCTCTGCTCTCTCCTGCCATTCCACCTGCTGCCCGCTGCCCGCTGCTGCGCGTCGCTCGCTCACCACCACACCACCAGTCGCCACCCCGTGCGGCGCGGCCATCCCGCGGAGGAGGAGCGCGCGTGTCCGAGCCTTCCGTTCCGCGTCGCATGGACTCGTGCTGTCGCCAGTCGCCTCCAACCGGGTGCCTGCCTAACCGGCCGATTTCCTTCCTTGCGTAGCTCCATTCCACGGCACAAATAGCGCGCCACTTTCCCAAACTCCCGTCGCGTGCCCCCCTTCCGATCCTGGCCACTTCGTGCGTCCGGCAGGGCGGGAGTGATCGGTGATGGAGTGGGGGGACAGGGCCAAGGCCTCCGCCGCCGCCGCCGCAGCGGCAGCGGACGAGAGGGCCGCGGGAGGTGAAGGGCTCGGGGGATACGTCAAGGTCATGACCGACGAACAGATGGAGGTGCTCCGCAAGCAGATCTCCATCTACGCCACCATCTGCGAGCAGCTCGTTGACATGCACCGCACCCTCACCGAGCACCAGGACACCATTGCAGGTCGGTCGGCGCAGTTGCGGGCAAAACCAATTGCTACTCTCTAGCCTCTCTGCTGTCTTGTTGTCTTGGGGTTTTGCAAGCGGAAAATTGGGGGATTCCTTTGCTTTGCCTTGGGACTTGCATTGTGGCTTGTCAGTTCCATCTTTGCCTCTTTGTGCAGAAAGAAAAATCGTGCCCCCTTTTTTTGCCATGGCTTCTCTAAAGGCCGCACCCTTCATTTATTTATGAATAGAGCTAATTCTGGTGTTACAGGAAGCTGCGTTGCTAATCTTACGAAATTATTAGCGGTCAAACTCTCTTTCATTTTTACTGCCATTCAATTTATGTCCAGTACTTTAGTCTGCTTTCTCCAATTGGTGAAGAGTGAAGGAGTATCTCTTCACTCTGTTCATGTTGCTAGATGCATAGTTGTGGCTGTCTAGTCTGCTTTACTCTGCTTGCCATCTGTGTGCTGCGGCTTTTGTCTAGTCTGTTTTTACTCTGCTAGCCATCTATGTACTATCTTACAATGGTAATAATGGGTATGGGGGTAGTAAGAATATAATTCATAACGTGTTAGTTTCTGTCATTAATTAACTGTAGTGGTTTCTGTTGGATCTATTATTTGCACGAGATGCTACTCGTAATTCATAAATTGTAATTGTAATGACCATCCTTTTGATTGGTCTAGCGAACCAGTTTAGCGATGTGTGGTGGGCTGCATTGTTTCTTTGCAGCGCAGTTAGGTCCCGTTTGCTTCGCTGAAAAAACCAGCCGAAACACTGTTGTGTGGTTGGTTTCTCTGAAAACACTGATCCGGCTGAAAAAACCAACCGGAAAAGACGGGTTATAAGAGAAGTAGAGTTCCATTTAGGGGACCTTATTGTCTGGTTGAACAGAACTAGCATTCATTTATTTTGAACTTTGTAGATACTTGACAATAGGTTGTAAGTGCCAACACATCAAAGTGGGAATAGGTTCAGTCAGTACCAAAGAGTGGGAATCCTTGTTCTTATTTGTTTCTCTTTTTTGAGTTAATGACCTAATGTACATGCATTTGATTAATTTCGCAAGGTCTTCATGGTTGCAGCATGATTGTTATTTGTGCTAAGATTCAATTTCTCTAAATGATAAGTTTTCTTTGCCCAAGCAATTAGTTCTCCTTTAATTGGAAGACTAGCATGGCCCCTATGCAAGATGGCACACACAAATCGAGAAATGGTCCTTTAATTAAAAAAAGAATAATGAATAACTATTAAGACATGGTTGTCATGTAGGGCCAACCAATTGCTGTTTTGTGCCACGTGCACCCTGCCACCCTGATTATTCCATATTCTCCTGCTGTCCTGCAGAATCTAAGCTTGACTTTCAGGGAGCTAATAAGCTTTGCATGTGTCTTTCGTTGGGCCAACACACTTGTACCTCTTTACTACGTGGTTGCCCTTTTGATAACTTATAGCCATCACATATCACAGTATTTAAATTTTCCAAACTTGTCCGTGCTGTAATCAATTTATATACTTCAGTTAGCTAGTTTTCTTCTCAACTTATGCATATAATTTTTTATTTTAAGTTTTGTTTAAGTCATTGAAGGGCAGGCCTGGTGGAGTGGTGAGAGCTGTCTCACTGAGTCACCAGGTCGTGGGTTCGAAGCAACCTCTCCGCAGATTTTTGCGGGGGAAAGGCTTGTCTCGGTTTATCCCTTCACCAGACCCCACTTATGTGGGAGCTTCCGGCACTACGTCTGCCATTTTTTTTGTTTAAGTCATTAATTTTTTTATATCCTGATGATTCAGCCTAATTACTTGCATTATGGCCATACAAGAGTTCCACCTGTAGCTGGGTAACTGTTTTTGGAACCCTGATTTCTACCACTGCAGGAATATTTAGATAATCTTCAAAACAAATTTTTTACTGAATTTACCCTCCCCCCCTCTATAAATATTTTAATGTTCCTTTGTAATGTATACATTGTCTATGGAATATAGCCCCTTCTTGTTTTCTGATCAACTGAATTTTGGTTTCTTCCTCAGGAATGAGGTTTAGCAATCTGTACAGTGATCCTATAATTATCCCTGGAGGTCACAAGATCACAGCAAGGCAACGATGGCAGCCAACACCAATGCAGCTGCAGATCTTGGAGAACATCTTTGACCAAGGCAATGGAACACCAAGCAAGCAGAAGATAAAGGAGATAACGGCAGAGCTCTCGCACCATGGCCAAATCTCGGAGACAAATGTGTACAACTGGTTTCAGAACAGACGGGCACGGTCAAAGCGGAAGCAGGCTGCTTCTTTACCAAACAATGCTGAATCTGAAGCTGAGATGGATGAGGAGTCTCTCACCGACAAGAAGCCGAAGTCAGATAGGCCGCTCCAGGATCACAAGGCTATGGGCGCTCACAATGCTGACAGGATCTCAGGGATGCATCACTTGGACACAGATCATGACCAAATCGGTGGCATGATGTATGGATGCAATGACAACGGCTTGAGATCGTCTGGCAGTTCGGGCCAGATGTCCTTCTACGAGAACATCTTGTCGAATCCAAGTATCTTCTCTGCAACCAGCGTTGTTACTTCATTTCATTAGGCAACGTAAAATTCTGAAAAGAGTGTTACTAAAAGTTTGGTATCGGTTGGTTTTTGCAGGAATCGATCATTTCCCGGGGAAGGTGGAGAGCTCCCGGAGCTTTTCCCATCTCCAACACGGGGAAGGCTTTGACATGTTTGGATGACATGCTGCTGCCGCTGAGTTATGAGTTACCGTGTAAAAATTGAAGGTTGACACAGCGTGCGTTCAATTTGCTGACATGAAAGTTTATCTGGGATGCCACCGTGTTTGCTTTATCACGGTCTGGTTAACCACCTCCGCGGATGGTAGCTAGCTTGAATGAACCTGCTCTTTGGAATAGCAGTAAGAGGTTGATATATAGCAGTATTTGCCCGTAGTCTATATACGCTAAATTATCATCATGTAATTCTCCACGTTTGCAAATTTAGCACGAGACCAGTCCTATGCAGCAGCAGCAGCAGCTTGTGGTTAAACCTTCGTGTGTGTGAAGCCATTTATTGCTTGCTTTTACTCTATTGCATACAGACATATGGACAGCGATGCCTCCTAGCAAGTGTTGACAACCAACTGGCAACTGCCCTGTCTGCCCAACTGCTTGTTAGCCCAGTTTTCCGCGCATTCACATCATCGGCGATCCGTCGTCCGTATCCGCTGCGTCCTGGAGATCATCGACAACACGCCGTTCTTTCTGTCGTTTTTCCAACGCAGGCGCGGAAAGTTGCCCCTGCCTGCCTCGGTGACTCATCGAGCCTGTCGAGCTCCTCCACACACCAAACAGGCAAACAGCCGCGCGCCGGCGTCCCGATTCACATAATCACATGACCCCGCTGCCTCTCCCATGTGCCGCCCCCTTCTGGTTAGTTCGCCAGTCGGCAGTTGCCACCCGCCAACCTGGGCTCCGACCGTGGCCCACTGGCCCAAACTTGCTAAGTCCTTCCGACGCTTGACAATGGAATGGGCGGATGGCACCTCAGGCTGCCGCTGGCGGGGCATGCGCGGAAGGCGTTCGACCAAACACAGCAACGAGATCAACACGGGAGTTAACAACAACAAGCACAGCAAAACTTTTAAGTCCCAAACAAATTAAGGTAGGCTAGAGTTACAACCACAATAAAACCTTTAAGTCCCAAACAAGATAAAATAGACTAGAGGAAAGATCAACACGGGAGTTAACAACAACCACCACAGTAAAGTTTTAAGTCCCAAACAAATTAAGGTAGGCTAGAGTTACCACCACAACAAAGCATTTAAGTCCCAAACAAATTAGGATAGACTAGAGTTGAAACCCAGCAGAAGCAATCAAGGTTCAGATACGTGAATAGCTATTTTTCAAGCACTTCTATCTAAGACTAAATCTTTGGTCCATCATTTTAAGTCTTCTTTTATTGTCTCTACCCAAGTCAACTTCGGTCTTTCTCTGTCTCTCCTCACGTTACTATCCTGACTTAGGATTCCACTACGCACCGGTGTCTCTGGAGGTCTCCGTTGGACATGTTCAAACCATCTCAACCGGTGTTGGATAAGCTTTTTCTTCAATTAGTGCTACCCCTAATCTATCACGTATATCATCGTTCTGAACTCGATCCCTTCTTGTATGACCGTAAATCCAACGCAACATACGCATTTCTGCAACACTTATTATTGAACATGTCGTCTTTTCGTAGACCAACATTCTGCACCATACAACATAGCAGGTCTAATCGTCGTCCTATAAAACTTGCCTTTTAGCTTCTATGGTACCCTTTTGTCACATAGGACACCAGATGCTTGGCGCCACTTCATCCACCCTGCTTTGATTCTATGGCTAACATCTTCATCAATATCCCCATCTCTCTGTAGCATTGATCCTAAATATCGAAAGGTATCCTTCCTAGGCACTACTTGTCAGGTATGTTGTGCGAAAAATCCAATAATCTGACGAGAGACGGGGATATTTTGACAAATTGTTCAATGGTGTCATCAAAAGAGTCATCCAACTAAAAGGTTGTGTCTGTATTCTCACCATTGAACAATTTGTCAAAATACTCTTGCCATCGATGTCGGATCTCATCCTCCTTCACCGAGAGATACTCCATTTCATTCTTAATGCACTTAACTTGGTTAAAGTCCTTTTTCTTTTTCTCACGAACCCTAGCCATCCTATAAATGTCCTTCTCTCCTTCCTTCGTACTCAAATATTGGTAAAAATACTCGTACGCTCTACCCTTTATCATACTTTCAGCTCGCTTTGCAGTCTTCTCTGCCACCTCGTAGCTCTACGTTGTAAAAAAAAACACGGGAGTTGCCATCCGCGTCAGTGTTTCTGATGAATTGCGTCAGTAATTCAGTATGTACCCCTCTTCTGTATTCTTTACCAATGGCACTATTAGTCTATTATATCACACCCTGATCCCAGCAGGCTCCAGCACAGTTCACAACAAACTCATGTACAGAACAACTCCTCACCTGCAGGTCCACCGCACCACCCCACCATTACTCCTATCACTACTTACAATTACAAAGCTAAGTTCAGTACAGATCACTGTCGCTCGGCAGGTGTCTACAAAACCATCTCCGGCGCCAGCAACACTACCGAGGAGCCACCATCCCGGAGGGGATGCCACTGTCCGCCTGACCACTGCCGGAAATATGCGACGACACATAGAGGGCCCCGCTGGTGGCGTTCGAGGACGATGACATGGACTTCGTCAGCAAGCCCGATCCCGAGGTCGAGGACAGCACGTCCTCTCCCTCGGGCAGCATGCTCCGGATGGTCTCGAGCTCACTGACAATGTCGGCCATGTAGGGCCTCGCTTCGGTCTCGTCCCGGCAACACCTTATTGCAAGGGAGAGGAACCTCTTCACGCATTCCGGAGGGTATGAGGACATCCCGCTGTCGATGATCCCGGAAACGTCGCCTGACTGGTAAGCTATGTTTACCTGCAGCAATTGAAAATCGTTCGAGTTTTAATTCATCTGTCTGAATCCAATTCAATCAATAAAGGTGCTCCATATAACTAATGCAAAGAGATGCAGTTAGTTTCTTCGACATAAGCAAATCCATATTGACGCATCTCTATTTGCTATTTTGGCGACCACTTTTAAATAACTAGACATGGTACAACGCGTCGCAACGGACCTCTAATAAACCCTTATAAACAATATTAAATTCCTATTAATTATATTCACAAGTATTTGTTTTTTATTATGAACAAGATCCAATAGGTCATTAAGCCACCAACAATTTCTTGCTGACACTTTTATGATAAATAGTTAATAGAAAGTGGTATTGTAGGTTAGTATGTCGAACTATAGGGGTAACATGCTAATGGTAGTGTGGAGTAGTGAAGCCACCACCACCACCTTGTTTCTTTAAGGAGTATAGAGATAGATGTTCCAAACCTATGTAGTTTATGCTAGTGAACATGAAGGATGTATTCATGATTTTGGATGAGATAAGAGGGATCAGTTGGTTTCCTGAGTGTCAATGCTGCAGCCATGCATACTCTCAATCCTTCCCAATATATTTTATCTATAAACGAGTAACCAAATAAATAAGAGCTGGAGTGGGAACTTTTTACCTCTCTAACAATGTTTTTACCATGCTGGATTGGCTTCATTCCAGTCAATAGTTCAAGAAAAACAACACCTAGGCTATACACGTCACTTCTTTCCGTCAGTTTATGAGTCAGGAAATATTCTGGATCGAGATAGCCCTGTCGAAGGAAAAAGGAAAATATTATGATCACCTAAATTTCCACACCATATCAGTGGGCTCAAATATTCCCTGTTATATGACAAGAAGCAGTAAATGAAATCATGGTGAGTGTGGTGTTGCTGCTTTGCTAGGTGTGACGTCACTTACTGGGGTGCCCTTAACAACGGTGGAGATATGAGCTGGCAAAGTCCCTTCAATATCAGGCACTGGAGCAAGCCTCGAAAGACCAAAGTCAGCCACCTTTGCTACAAACTTGGAATCTAGAAGAATATTGCTGGCCTTAATGTCACGGTGAAATATAGGAGGATTTGCCTCGGTATGTAGATATAGAATTCCTTTTGCAGCACCAAGCGCAATATGGACCCTCTGACCAAAGCTCAGAGGTCTTTCAGTCTTAGCTGTGAAAATGTTAAGTTTGATTATATATGGGCTTCATCAGATTCAAGCTAAAAAAAATGCACATTAAATAAGTCAATGATAAGCTAAAGCTAAACCAAAAGCTTCATATGCAAACATGCAATAGCGATAATGCACGCCAGATATAAATTTCATTGGATAGATGTGATCATGGTGTTGTCTTTAATGTGAAAGCACATGATGGTCATATGGATGCAGAAGCTGAGCTAGGCTGTGGATGTATTCCTGGCAACCCAGGTTTACATTCCTCCTAAGTTGGTCCAGTTTTATATTATTATTATGATGGTAATATGGAAAACAAAAGCAAATATTTGAACATGTCACTTCCCGCTTACCAGAAAGATGATCACGTAGGGTACCATTGGGCATGAACTCATACACCAGCATCTGCAGAACACTATTCTCTATGAGGGGAGTACTGCACACTCAATAAAAAGACTGCAGAATCACTAGTTCTAAGCACATTTACCAATACTTTAATTCTTTCACAATGTGTAGAGAGTTGTGGGAAAGTTTTCAACAATATACTTGTCCATTAATAATTAAAAAGATTGTAAGACACACCTGCTCGTCTTCTTCATCACAATAGCCAACAAGAGAAACCAAATTACGATGATGTACTCTTGACAACAATTCTATTTCTGTGCAGAACTCCTTTGAACCTTGCAGAGAATCTTCATGCACACGTTTGATTGCCACAGCTGTTCCATCAGCTAAATTTCCTCTGTAAACTTTTCCATAACCTCCTTGACCAACTTGAGCTGAAATATCAAAATCCCTTGTTGCCGCAGCCATTTCGTCAAATGTGAAGCATTTCACGCCATCAACCTTGACAGAAAACCTTGAAAGTACTGCCAAATAATATGCATCTTTAGAACATGTGATCATTTTGGAAGAATAGATC